GTTTTCTTTCGATTTCCCACACCTTATAAATTGGTTTTCTATTATGCTATTTCTCATAATATAGTATTGTACAAAAAGCGTCCATTTTCAGAAAATTTAGGCAACTCAAAAACCTTCCTGCCATATTTTAAGTTGACAACAATCTTAGACATCAAGTTTGCAAGCACATTGCAACATATCAAATCCTAGCAATCATTTTGACTTTCTAGCTTTTCAAAGCATTCAATGTTTTTATATTGATAAGACAAGACATAACTACACTTTTTACAAAGATCACATCAATCATTTGAATAAAGATCTTTATCATGAGCAAATTCTTGCATGTGAGCCGTCACGAGCTTGGAGCCTCGGATCCAATGCCCTAGAAGTAATTGGGCCTTGGTTGGTAAGGGAGCCTCGATCTACACAGAAAGAGACAAAGCGGTTGGATCGGATCGGGACTCACTGCTTAATTACAATGGCCATGTGGCAATCCCTAGTAACGAGTCATAACATAACTTGTCTTATGGAATTGTTGTGAACATGTTATGCTCCATTCTGCCCTCATATAAAGCAAGTTGTCTTACGATATTCTTTGCTGCTCAGATTCGTATTTTTGCTTTCTCATGTTCTTTACTTTGTCCCTTAAGCTAACTTTTATCTTTTAGGCTCTAGTATCCTAAGTGGAGTTGTCGTGCCAGGTCTAGCAAGTAATTAAAGAATATCATGCTCATATAGGAATAATATTTATAGCCAAAAACAGGCAGGCAACATTAACAACTTCAACTAATAGAAATGGAGAGTTGTCTAGTATTTGGGTGGAGTCATCTTTAATGGAACAATATCAGTTGGTTATAGTCTTCAGAATCCTTGAATCAAAGCTCTGATACCAAACTTAGGACAACCCCTAAATTCTACTTATTTTTTTGTGAGCATTGTTCAGAAGTAAACTCTCTTTTGTAAAATTGATTTCAAACATGGTTTAAGTTATCTTTACTTAACATGTAGTCTAAGAACATAGTATATAATTACTTAAGATGTCTTCCTTACTTAAGATTTGTATTTTTCATCTTGTAGAATGTAATTTGTAAATCTAACTCACAAAGGTAAAACTAGGTGGAAACATAAAACATGTGGCCACATTTCTTTATTACATACTGCATTCTTCTTAAAAAATACGACTTTAGACCGAGATTATGTTATGAATGAAGCAAGAATAATTGCAAGATAAAATAAATCAATCACAAATAACATCAAGATTTTACGTGAAAATCCAAGAAGGGAAAAACCATGGGCAGAGGAAGATAAAGAAAAAGAAGATTGGAGCCAACAATCGATTTTCTTCAACATCAAAAGCTACTAGACAATGTACGATGAAAAACTGAAATTAAGAGGTGTGTATGCCATTTTATCTTTTATAAGGGAACGCTTT